ATATATATATATATATATATATATATATACACTCTCTCTCTCTCACACTCACACACACACACTGAACTGATAAAAAAAAAAGTACGCCTTCAATGCAGTGTAAGTTTTGACAGGAAAAACATCTGTCGAATGCTTAAATGTAAATTCCTTCAGAGGGCAGCTGAGAGAATCTGACATAAAATACATCAAACAATCTTTAATGATGAAATATGAGGTTCATATTGACCCACACACATCATAATGGTCCACTGCTGCACACGTGCCACAATTTCGATACAGGGCCAGCTGCATTTATTTAATATTTAACTAAATTATATTTTAATTAACAGGGTAATAACTGCTGTTATATGTAGGTTTAAGCCATATTTAGTGACAAATTAAAGATTTTTTTCTTTATCATTAAGCTTCACTCCAGGGTCTCTGCAGTTTAAAAAAGGTCATGTGTGACGTTTGAAAGTCTAAAGCCTTGAAATATTCCCTCCACTCCCATTTTACACATTTTAGCAGTAATTAATAAAAGACTATCATCCTAAACAACATTTTTCAATTTCAAGGCATTTTGCCCTTACTAAAATCAGTATGCTGGTTTTCCTTGTGCTGGTGACTCATCACTCAGTCTGTCTGTACGCTTTGAAGATGACATGAAACAGACCCTATTGACTTGCCATATAAATGTCCCTATAGTCTTACTGTGTATGATTCATCAGTGCACATTCTTATATAGACAAAAAGTGTTTGCTTTCATAATCTTTCATCAAAAATCTCTGCAATGTCTTTTCTCGTCTACTGACGTAACCAAGTCCGTGTGAAATAATACTATATATTGAACAGTTCCAACTATACATTGTGATTAGATGAGCCACATTCATAGCCATTTTAAACTAACCAATAAATGAGCAGACATACTACATGAATGAGACAAGATGCTACACCCCATGCCAATCATAAACAGCCTACACTTAATTCAGTTATTACATTTCCCACTTTTAAATAATTATTGAACATAGGTGTCTTTGTTGCCATTAAATGACTGTAATGCAGACTCTAAAACAAAATCAGTGTTATGAAATTCTCAATCTCCTGTTTTTGAGCAGCAGCATCCTCCTGTTTCAGGTTGGTTGATAAAAAAAAAAAAAAAGTACCGAAACCCAGGCTGCCTACAACAGATGCTTCAAGCTGAACCGCTCTCCTACACTGCAAATTTCCCAATGCAAAGACAAATGCAAACAAGCGGCCTGGCAGAGAAGAACAGATGATGCATGTGAATGACCTAGTGCTCAGTGAGACAGGCCTGCTGGGGCCGGGCCAGAGATGAGGCACTGACCGGGGACTTCAGAGCCCAGAGTGTCCCGCACACATCTACTCGGCCCGTCAGGAGACTCACCAAAGCTCTCCTCCAATCACTCCTCCTTCCTGAGTATTAAACTTCTGAAATTAATTCAGTGCTTAACATACAGATTATTTCAGCTGTGCTCTTAGGAAACCTTTAAAGACATTTCAAAATTCAAATCTTCCATTGGACTGATGGAATGTTTGCCATTCATAATTACTTCACACACTCCTGCAGGGAAATGACGTCATGACAATGCTGATTGGCTGAAGTCGTCACAAGAAAATACAGGGAAAATTTTGAAAAGCTTTCATGGGGATAGATGCTGTTTTGCTGCCGGATAGTGTAGTTGTGGCTAACTGCCCATGCTAACCCGTCAAACCCTGAACCCTTGACTATAGAGGTCTTCACGGTCTGGTCCGCTTGGATCTGAAAACGCAAGGTCTTCCTGAGACCCATGCAGGTTCGGGTTGAGAACAACATAGTCTTATGGAAATTTGTAACTATTTCACATTTTGGCGAAACAGTGGTTGATATGAATTTTTCAGATTCCAATTCGTACGTTTTCGTATGACCTGCTTACACCCAATCTGACAGTTAGGTTTAGAGATGGGGAGCTTCATCTTCATTTTCGTACAAATCTCATTGTATGAATTCACATGAAAATGCCATAAAATAGTTATGTTTTCTCCTGAGATCAGGTTGGTTGAGACTGATATTAATAGCCTCAGGTAATTTCAAATAAAGGTGCTTTATTTGGACCTGAAAAGCCCTGAAGTCCTATAAAATATGCCAACTTTTCATTATTCTTCTGGGGCATTTAATAATATTTTATTAACACAAATGCATATTTAATAATGCTATGACAACGTTACTAAACCCCTGCCTCTCTGTTTTCTGATTTCGTGAACATCATGGAAAGCTGCATCTGAATTGCTCAATTAATCGATTTATCAGTGAAATACTTGACAGATTAATTTGATCAATAACCAAAGTATTCATTACTTGCAGCTCTAATTGTTGTCATACTAAACAACTATATGTGACTCTGGACCACAAAACCAGTCTTAAGTCGCTGGGGTATATTTGTATGGGTCAAAATTATAGATTTTTCTTTTATGCCAAAAATCATTATGATATTAAGTAAAGATCATGTTCCATGAAGATATTTTGTAAATGTCCTACTAAATATATTAAAACTTAATT